CCAAACCCTAAACCCTAAAGCCCCTCCCATGTCTGCGCCTGTGCTCGCACCGGTGCTCTGAGCAGATGGCGACAGCCAGGCCCTGGCTTGATCGGCAAAAGGAGGCCAGGGTTTAGGGTTTTAAGGGGCTTAGGGGGTTTAGGGTTTAGGGTTTAGGGTTTAGGGTTTAGAGGGGTTTAGAGGGGTTTAGAGGGGTTTAGAGGGGTTTAAGGAGTTTAGGGTTTAGGGTTTAGGGTTTAAAGGGGTTTAGGGTTTAAAGGGGCTTAGGGGGTTTAGGGTTTAGGGTTTCAAGGGGTTTAGGGGGTTTAGGGTTTAGGGCTTAGGGTTTAAAGGGGTTTAGGGGGTTTAGGGTTTAGGGTTTAAAGGGGTTTAGGGGGTTTAGGGTTTAAGGCAAATAGGGCAGTTGGGGTTTAGGGTTTAGGGTTTAAAGGGGCTTAGGGCGTTTAGGGTTTAGGGTTTAAAGGGGCTTAGGGCTTAGGGCGTTTAGGGTTTAGGGCAAACAGGGCAGTTGGGGTTTAGGGTTTAAAGGGTTTAGGGCTTAGGGCAAACCGGGTTTAGGGTTCAAGGCAGTTAAGCTTTAGGAATTAGGGCAGTTAGGGTTTCGGGTTTAGGGCAAATAGGGCTTAGGGTTTAGGGGTTAGGGCAGATAATGATTAAACAAGCAAGACAAGATGCAACCAACGCAGTGTCAATCACTGGGTCGAACAGTTACATCTGCTGCGGGTTTCAAAACCGAAGATGGAACTCACTCTCATAGTTCCAGGTCTTTGAACCCGCAGCGGGGGGTAGCAGTTCGACACAGTCATTGAACGGATTCGGCGAAAGAACAAAACGAGCATCACAAGCATCAGCGTTCAATTTGTTTCAACTCTCTCTTTGCTTTGCTTTGCTCGGGGTTAAGAGTCAGGGGTCACCCCCCAACTGGCGCCGAAGCGTGTCCCCATCCATCCTTTTGAGAGACGGGTGCTCTCTCTCTCTCTCTCTCTCTTTCTCTCTCCTGTCTTCGGGTCCGGTCATGGGGCTGGGTCGAACTAAAGAGAGTGGAAACAAATTGAACTGTGATGCTGGTGATGCTCGTGTTGTTCTTTCGCCGGATCCGTTTAACGACTGTGTCGAACTGCTACCCCCGCTGCAGGTTCAAAGACCTGGAAATAGGAGAGTGAGTTCCAAAAAGATTTCAAGCTGATGCTGATGATGCTCGCGCTGTGGTTCCGCTCAATCCGCCCCATGACTGGGTCGAACTGCTATAGAGACAGGCGAGAGAATCCAATAAGATCAATAACATTGCGAGCTGATGCTGATGATGCTCGCCCTGCCGTCCCCCACTGCCTGGGTCGAATTCGCTGGTCCGGAGATAGGAGAGACAGCTCGAGAAGATCGCCAGCTGATGCTAATGATGCTCGCCCTGTGGCTCCGCTGAATCCGCATATTCACAGGGTTGCACTGCAACCCTGCTGTTAGTTCCGAAATCACGAGATAGGAAGGACGGCTCGAAAAAGGATTTCGAGCTGATGCTGATGATGCTCGCCCTGCGGTTCAGCTGAGCCCGCACATTGACTGGCTCGCACAGGCAGCCTGCTGCTGGTTCAAAAGTTCGGAAATAGGACAGACGGCTGCAGCTGATGCTGATGATGCTCGCCCTGCGGTTCTGCTGAATCCGTACATTGAAGATCGAGTTGCTACCCTGCTGCTGGTTCAAAGATCCGGAGGCTCTAACCGATGTGCAGCTGATGCTGATGATGCTCGCCCTGTGGTTCTGCTGAATCCGTACATTGACGATCGAGTTGCTACCCTGCTGCTGGTTCAAAGATCCGGAGGCTCTAACCGATGTGCAGCTGATGCTGATGATGCTCGCCCCGTGATTCTACTGAATCCGTACATTGACGATCGAGTTGCTACCCTGCTGCTGGTTCAAAGATCCGGAGGCTCTAACCGATGTCCAGCTGATGCTGATGATGCTCGCCCTGTGGTTCCGCTGAGCCCGCGCATTGACTATCGAGCTGCTACCCTGCTGCTGGTTCAAAGGTACGGAACTAGGACAGACGGCTCTAAAACGATTTCCAGCTGATGAAACGGCCTGTCACAATAGCCAAGACACCTCCTCGCAAAAGGCACTTCGCCCAACAGGACTGGTGGCGGATTGGGGACTTTGCGTCGAACTACGTCCGAATTTCCCACCTCACGCCCTTCGCTGGTGAGGCAGAGACTGCCCGCGGCGAAGTCAGCGGTTCCACCTGGGGCTTGGTTTCGGGAGTTACTGAAGACTAATGGTCTGATCTTAGGTCTCCGTTGTTGCAGAGAGGCTTACTTGTTGACCGGATTTTTCGCGACGTCTACTGGATGTGTGGCGGTTGCTTAGCTTCTGGAGCCGGGAGCAAGTCTTACGTGCTGTTTTGAGGTGAGTCAAAAGCTGCCATGACTGTACTACAGATTTACTGCTCTACCTCTGAACTAGTGCTGATGCTGCGGCAGCAGCAGCGGCACCTTCACCACGACCACGACGAACGCAGGCCAAGGACACGACGACCACTATACCACCTAGCGAGATCCCTCCCTAGAGCTGCACAGCCTGCATGGGAAGCGACATCGGCGCGCTGCGATTGGGCGTCAGGGACCTCGACCCCGCAAACAGCGGTGGCTCGCCCGTGATGCTACAGTCTTCTATTGATTGCTCTTGCTGCGTTGTTTGATGACAACTGATTACTATCGTGGCATCTCTTTCCTGTGCGCACAATGACTGAGATGAGCTGTCTCTAGACTACTCTCAACGGACTCTGTGAAGATAGCTTTCCGAAACCCAGCCCCTGCCAGCCCCTGGCCGGGAGAGGACGTCCATGGGATTCGCCTGGCGGCACGAGTGGCGAGCGATAGTCGTAGCAACAGTAACAACAGTAGCCATTAAACTCTCGGTTTTTGATGCTGGTTGTGAAAATGCTCTACTGGAATATGCCCAAGTTTGCGCTGCAGCGGTCCTGTTGTAAACTGTTAACACACTAACCGGGCTGTTGGATTCAGTGGTGAAATAAGTCTGATCGAAGCCCGGAGGGCCATGACAAAATAGGAGATGTGCATCCGATGAAAGGAACTTCACATGGCTCGGAAGCCCCCAAACTTCATCCTAAAATGGCGCTGGCACGACCGCAAGTGCAGGAACCAGTGTCGACATAGCCTGCCGCAAGGCCCAGTGGAAATGCATCGGAGCGAAAGACCTCACCTGCCTCGCTTCGGACCCACTTCGCTTCCGATCTTCCGCGCGGAGGCGTGGCCTCGGGCAAAGAAGTCTTCAGAGAGGGAAGCGAGAGGAGCCAAGGCATTGCTGGGCTCCCTGGCAGAGACGGCCGTTCGCACATAGGGGTGCGGCTGCGGAGGTGTCGCCTGAGTGAAAATCTCGTCTCACTCTGTCACCGGTGCTCGGCTCGCCGAGGAGGCCGCCGAGATCTCCTGTCGCGCATAGACCGGAGCGGTCTCTCGAAGCCGTCCGCGCTGCGGCTGTGGTGGCGTTGCCTGCAGGGCAGCGTTCCTCAACTCTTTTGGTGCGGGAGTCGCCCGGTTTTCGCACCTGGCCAGGCAGCAAAGGCGTGGCATAGACGGCAGCTGGACTTCTCAGCTGCCGTGGGGGTGTCGCAAGGACGGTCTGAACCTCTCAAGCCACGCTGCGGCTACGAAGGTTTGGCAGCAGACTCTGCAATGCATTACCATCATTACCTTCATGACAGCAATTCGATCGATGATCCACTACGATCTATACTGGTGGTGAGTTCAACCTCCGTGCGCGAAACCTCATGCGGCCGTGGCAAGGTGGACTGGTCGTAAATGACACGCGTCCTGACGAGCCCATGCAATGGCTTGTGGCTGCGACCTTGTGAGGGGCCCCAGTGTAAGGTATTGGGGGGGGGGATGTATTGAAGCATAACGTTAACCAGCCACACAAATGTAAACGGGCTGGAGGGCTTTTCGGATTTGACCAACTCGAACTGGGATCTACAGCGGGTTTATATATATAGGGTTCGACCTAAGGAAGAACTCTGATTTATGTGACGGCCGCCGTCCTTGCTGAAAGCTGCGGCGTTGACGCCTTGGCACTTATAATTGCTGCATCTCTCGTGCACCGACATGCTTCATGCGCTGCATGTCTCAAAGCACACGCAAAAACGATCACTACAGACTGAGGCACGCCTGGAACCAACGAATGCTCTAGCTTCTGGCTCCGTTGTACACGCACTGCTACTCCTGTTGTTAATGACTTTCGGACTACCCCAGACTCCGAGATCCCTAAACTCCCAAACAACTCAAGACCCCACAATCCCAAAGTCCCACCAAAAGAAAAATCAACCGAGCAAGACCCCCCCCCCTCCAAAAAAAAAAACAATACCTCTAAAGCCTAAATCCTCCCCCCCTCCCAAACAAAAACAACGAGACTTCTCAACCCTGACCCCCCTCCCTCTCAACAAGAATAGAGTCCAAAGCACCAAACCTCAAAAACGCAAACCTTTTGAACTCTAACCTCCCAACCCGAACCTCTCAACCCTAAACCCCCAAAATTTAAACCCTTTTAACCCCTAAACCCTAAGCCGCGAGAGCCGACTCTGCCAAGCTCCCAAGGACCCCACGGCAGTGCGAGGTGACTCCGCCCAGCGCCTTTGAGCTGGGTTCAGGTTTGAGGGTTTAGGGCTTTGGTTTTAGGATTGAGGTTCTGCCAAACAAAATTTAGCCCCCCCTTAAGGTTCCTTTTTGGGCTTTAAGGCCTCCTGTTTGTGTTACTTCAAAGCGAGACCCTGATCCAGCTTGTGTCGGAACGGTCCAAGCATGGAGAAGCAACCCCGACAAGTCCGCCCAAGTACTTCTCTGGGGAGAACTTCTTTGCCTCCTGCAGACTATCCTGCCAACATCCCGGCCGCAGCCAAGCCCCGTCGTCATTTGGTATTTTATATTTATTTGACCATGGTCGTGTCCGCATGAATGATTGTGATGGCGTGACTAAGCCGGATGTTCTGACCCTGCCTATCTCAGACCCTCAACCATAAACCTGTGCTTCGGACACTGATGATCCGGCTTCCTCAAGGCTTAAAGCCATGATTATGATCCTGATTATCCTGTTCCCTGCACTCATCCTCTTCCCTGAACACTAAACTCGCTAAACCCTAAGACTATGATTCGGATCCTGAGTTCGGGCGCAGCAAAACCCCGGAGCGAGGGCGCTGCTGAGGAGCCGGCAATCCCGAGCCTTGCAAAGCCGTGGGCACCGGGGTGACCACCTGCTTGGGAGACTCAGAAACTCCCGACGCCTCTTCTGGCCAAGATCCCTGGCTTGGATACTACCAAGGGTATAATAATGATACTAAAGAGTCGAAACCTAAATACTACAGGGGCATCAGGAGTATAGTCACCCACAAGTCAACAAAGGCCACAACACTCACTGCAGAGTGCACTTGAAGACCGGAGTCGCCGCAATCCTGGCCCACCCCATGCAGTTCTCAGGAAGTCCTTTAGGAGTTCAGTCCTCTAGGTTGGGGGTGTTGGTTACATCATGTTTCAGGTTTTGGGACCGCGATCGGGTTCCAATGCTCTCTATAAGAATTCCAGCTTGCCTGTGTTTCTGGAGGCTTCTACAACACCCCTTGGGGAAAGGGCGTCATCGAGAAAGCAGTCCGCGACAAGTCTCAAGAGCGATCTCTCCTTGGTTGGAGTCATAAGAGGTTTCGGGGTGTATTGTGGTAGAGCAATAAAGTCAATAAAAGAAGTCTTTATGCTTTGTGTTGAAGAGCCGCCAGAACCGCAAGCGGCAAGCCCTGTAGATGGATCGAAAATTGCAAGTCCTCATGAAGGCCCCCAACCCCCACCCCCCACCCCCCAACAAGGCCCCAAGTACTCTACACAGCACCAGCCCAGAACCAACCGATACTGAGAAAGCCGTGAACCCTAACTAAACCATGCACCTCACCAAAACCCGAAACCCAAAGCCCAGAGAAAAGCCGGAAGCCTCAGAGTCGACAACACAAAGCAAAATTCTAAAGTTCTACACCTCAAGGCCTAAACCCCCCTAAACCCGAAACGCCAAACCCTAAGCCTTAAACCCCTAAGCCCTAATCCCTAAACCCTAAACCCTAAACCCCAAACCCTTAGCCCGACTTGGATCCAATGGCCTGGCTCGGGACCTGCAGGTACTGCTGCGGCCTCCTGTGCAGACTCTCAAGGGCCGGGCCCCTCAGTTCCTCTGGGTCTTCTTCTGGCATGGGCTTTAGATGGTTAAAGTGGCAACTTGAATGTCCCTTCCTACCTGGCTTTAGGATGGTTGCACAAGGTTGAAAACAAGCTTCTGCGAGGGTCAACTCAGGACCCCTGGTGTTTCGAAGGTGCGCGTCGGGCCGGTGACGATCTGGTTTCATCGACAGGAATAACACTCAGTGTCTATGAAGTCTGACGCCAATGGAGATGATGTTGCTGTTATGGCCCTCCGTGATGCAATCAGGCATGGTGGCCAGGTGCAAGCATGTTCATGTGGGTGGTTGTCATGGTCCCTTTTTGGGTCCTTATTATAATACGGCACCTATTATTTAGGGTACCCCAAAAAAGACTCTAATTTTGACAACTACCCATGTCTTTGAGCAGCACCGCCTGGGTAGCCTTGTCTGCCATAATTAGCAGCTTTGCTATTCTGTAAGATCAGCCAGAGCCGTGTTGAGTGCATGATTCTGATCACTGCGGAACAGTGCGCAACCCAAAAGCCAGAACCCAAAACCAACCCTGAACAGCGTGATGAACAAAGCCAAACCCACCACCTCGCTCTGTCAAGCATTTTGCTGTCGCTGGCATGTGGGTAGCTCTCTAAATAAGGGTCACCGTTCAGGTCCCCAAAATACTACGGCACCCCTCTCTGGAAGAAGGACCCTGAAAAGGGGCTCTAATTTCGGGAACTACCCAACTTGAAACCTTTTAGTACCCGTATGAAAATAGGGGACCTTAACATAGTACCCTAACTAATAGGATCTTTATTCTAAGGAGCCCAAAATAAGGTGCCCCTTATTTTCGGAAACCCCCATATGGCTCTACTTGGCCTTTGAAGCGAATCGTAGCTGGCCACGGTGCTGGTAGTCAGGGTGGGCTCCTCCGGAGCAGGACAGTTTAGGCTTGGAGCTTAAGGCCCGAAAGCCCTTATCCCTCTCACCCTTATTATAAGGCTTAAGGGTTATCCTGGACCCTATAATCCCTATTCTAAGGCTTAAGGGTTATAGGGTTTAGGGCTGTCGGGCTTTCCGGGTTTCACTTTTTCGGGGGGTTAGTCGATGGCTTAAGGGGCTCAGGGCCGAAGGCCTCAAACTTGACGAGAAATCCTGGACCTCTAGGCCCCGGAACATCCTGAACCCCTAAACCCCCAAACCTCAAACCCCATAAGCCCTAGACCCTAAACCCATAAACCCATAAACCCCGAAACCCCGAAACCTTGAGCCCATAAACCCCCAAACCTTCTAAAACCCTACAGAAACCCCAAGCCCCAAAAATTTTTTGGGGGGACGAGAGACGCAGAGAGGGGCTCCTGCTGCGGAACGAGGAGTTCCTGCTTCCGCCTCCTGGAAGCTCTCACACTCTGAACCCCTTGCTGATCCTAGGTCAGAAGTTATGTATAGCAACACTAGTGATAATCAGAATAATCGTGATGATAATGACAGTCATAACAATAATAAGTGTGAGATTTCATCCTGCGGAGCTGAAAATTTAGAATTTAGAGTCCCTGCTAGAAACGCAGCCAGACGCAGTCAGCTGGACTTCGTCTCGCGTGGACACCCTTTGCGCACAGTCATGACCATTTGATTTGATTAGTGTCATTGTTGTTACTATCATAGCTCTTATTACCATCTTACTACTATTACCATTAGTGCTATGAATACTATTGTTGCGGCATCTTGCAGCTGAGTGGCACATCCATGGGGGTAGAGACTGTGGCAGCAGTGTCGTCCATATCACCTGTCGCCAGAAGGCGTAGTTATGCTTCTCCGGCTCATTTGGCATATCAGATGCCGAAGAATATGCCAATGCTGACGAAAGATCGGTGTCCAGGTCGCTTTAGCACCACGTAGGTTCAGCAGCTTCGAATGAGTCAGGGCACCCTGCGACACTGCTACACACTTATCACTCGAACACATACCGGTGTGCACGCGAACTGGCTATCGAAGCTTGCAGCCAGCTCGCACGACTGTAGGCTCTATGGCCTTTGTGCAGCTTCCCTGGCTGCAAACCCTTGCAAACACTATAAGGATCCGACATGACAAAGCCTTTATAATCCTTATAAGCCCTTCCGAGACCCTTGAAAAACCAAGGACTCTGATTCAACAAACCCGGCCAAAGCATTGCTCACCTGACTAGCCACGAGATGACCGGCCTGCACTGACACCGTTCCGGACTTCCGAGATTCGATCTTGGAAGTCTTTGCACTTCTTTTCCAACGCCTGAGCGTATCAAAGAACTCACAGGTACCAATCGCCCACTGTGAACTTCTGAGGGAAATTCTTCCTCTTCCAGTCTGGAGTGCTTTTCTTGAGGAGCCCACGTGCTGTCGCTTCTGGGCCAGGAGAAGGTGGCTGTGCATTCCAACCTCGTCCATTACCAAATCTCGCAGAAGCTCTTGGAAGAGAAAGGCTCACTCACTAACCCCCTCGTAGTAGCATAAGGCTTCAACGGGGTACTCTAAGGGTACTATAACTTAGTTGCTGAGTTCATAAGCCCAGAAAAGTGCTTTCAGTTGTATAGTAGGTAAAAAGTATCCCAAAAAGTGAGAAGCGTATCCACCCAGCTACTCACCTAAGCTCTGCTTCCTACCCTCCACTGGGGAAGCCGGAAGTCGGGGAGGCTCCAAGCGCGCGGCCACTGCTTGACGTAGCCACTCCACTTCTTGCCTTAGGGCTTCAGGGTTTAGGGTTTAGGGTTCAGGGATTAGGGTTCAGGGTGTAGGGTTTAGGGGAGTATAGGGGCCTTATAATAAATAGAAACATATTTTTCTGGGGGGTCCTTATTGTAAATGTCAGAATAAACCCCCAAGCCCTGGTCTAATTGTTAAGGCCGCTATATTGGGGTCGTGACCTGGACCCGTCTTCACCAAGATTCCATGTATGTGCGCAAACACTCGCTAGCCGCTCTAGCCTCTCTGACTGCCTGGGGCATGAAGAGGATTTCGGCAGTTCTTGGCATCAAGCTGTTCAGACCAAGTCTTTTTCTCGAGGGTTTTCTTGACTGGTTGTGAAAGCACAGCTTCTCTACAAGCAATGTATTCGGCTATAGGCCAGGACACATCGCAGCTTCACAACAGCACACAACTGCCGGGTCAACCAGTGCTGCGTTGCAAAAACATGTAGCGCAGCATTTTCTGTACAGCGGAAGGAATAGCGGCCTCGATCGAATTATGACCACTTCATGGCGAAGCCCCCGACCATCGCCAGGCGCTAGACAACACATGGTCCGCCAGGCGACTGACGCCCTAGGATCTCCAGGACTCTAGGTCGCAAGGATCAATTTGTCGTGAAAGGCGCGCGGTGAGACCGACCTCGACCTAGCTCTCTTGAAGGCACCAGTTCCCATCTCCTCCGGTTCCTCCAACTCCAGGAATGTGTTGTGAACCACCAGGGCCGGGGCTCTCGGGGTAGTCGGCACCGGCCTGTACAGGCGCTGCAGGCGGAGGCCCCGGTCTGTGCGAAAGCGGGCCTCCGCATGTTCACTCATGCCTGGTGCGGATTGACCCCCGTTCGCATGCCGATACGCCGACTTCTGCAGCGTGTAAGCACTGTAGAAGCGATCCCTCACATGCTGCCACTCGTGGTCTGCAACTACGCACTGGTAGTGCTGTAGCTCCTGTCCATCCAGGGACTGGTACATGTCTACAGTCTCACCAAGTCTTTCCAAGAACAGCATCAAATAATCCGAGAGAAGAAAGCTGCCTCTGCCAACCATGCAGGGCTGGTAGCGGCCCCAGAAGGCCAGCCCATGTCTTCGGCCGGCATCGATGGTCGTCACTTCCTCCATGTCCCCGGTTCTTTGCTCTGGAACTGGCAAAAAGGGTCGGCCCCTTGGCCAGCTGTGTATAGTCAGGACGACATAGAACTGCTGATCCAGGCGCCGCATCTCCTCCATGCCGGGGCGATTTACGTACCAGTCCATCAGACCTCTTGCAGAGGTAATCACACTTTGAAAAGGCACCGAGACCCAGTCAGCGACAGTGGGCACTGTCAGCGTCAAGGAAATCGACACAAGGCCTGGCTCCTTCTGCCGTCGGGCATGAGCGAAGCCACCGTAGGTCTGGGTATGACTTCGAGCAACCAGGACACTGTCGCCCATCTCCGGATAGTTGTGCCGAATCGCTTGGTACATAATCTCCTCGCCGATGGGGAAGAGGAAAGTCAGGCCTTCATCCTCCTCCTCGTCATGCAAAGAGAAGAAGACGTTGCACAACTTCCACAAACTCGCATACGCCCTTCGCATGATCATGGCCTCGCCAGCTCCCAGCTGCTTCACCACCCCAAACCCTTCTACGTTCAGCTCGGGACGGCTGCGTAGTATCCAACCGCGCGCCTCTGGTCGCACGAAAAGCGGCGACCCGTCTCCAAGGTTGTGGACCGGGATGTCCTGGCAGGACAACTTCACAAGATGCCCGCCCCACGGACAAGTTTGCTTCAAGAGCTTGCCAGCAGGATTCTCAAAGGCAATCTGCCACCCCGCATCTTCGAGGAGATTCGGGACGTTCTGCAACCATTCGTCGATGTTGTCTGGGCAGGCTGCCATATTGCTCTGCTGGTTTGGCCTTCCTTCGGTGACCTATATACTATATACTTCTGCGCTTCTACAGGCTTGAACCGTATTCCGCATGACCCAAGACAACCCACACCATCAGAGATGCCAGACGATGCACTCACCGCGCTTGTTCATCGCTCAGCCGCCCGCCAGGTGTCTGCCAGGTCCGTGTCTTCTGAACCTGACATAGGACTGTGTCTTGTTGCCACTTTCTGCGTGCATCTCACTACTCAGAACTCATGCTTTGTCATTGTCAGTTGCTGTTATGATCATGATGGCGGCCACTAGTCTATCTTGACGACAGCGAAGATGGTGCTGGTGCTGCTGCTGGCGGTGCCCGTGGTGGCATTGGTTTGGCCGCGATGGTGACGGTGGCGATGGCGGCGAGGGCGGTGGTCTAGTGATTAGGATGATGGTCATGTTGATGATGGCGACCATAACGGTGATGATTATGATGGTGATGATGATCGTGATGATGATGGTGGTGATCGTGATGCTGATGGTGATGACGATGATGATGATGATGATGACGATGAAGATGACGGCTACATTCCACATGGTGGCACTGCTGCAACAGAGACAATGACGAATTCTTCCTGTTTCATATATGAATATAGGCACATAGAGAGATAGATAGACTGATTGTGGACAGAGACAGACAGACAGGCAGGCAGGCAGGCAGGCAGAAAGACAGACAAAGTAACTAACTAACTAACGAACGACCGACCGAACGAACGAACCAAACCGGCAGGCATGCAAATGTACATGAATATATTAATAGCTAGCTAGCTACCTACCCACCTACTCACCGACCGACCTACGCAGGTACGTACGTACGTATGCACACACACATAAAACATATTACTTTTATATCTATATATATATATATAGAGAGAGAGAGAGACGTGTCTACTTGCTTGGACGCATACTATCTTCGTAGGTATGCCGAGGTTCGTATTCCAGACCCTATTTCTGATGCCGGCTGAAGGTGACTGTCTTAGCCATGACCTACCGTGACAACCATTTCCGCCACTATTGCTGGTCACTTTGTGATTCTCATCACCGTCATCATGATGGCCACTAAATCCTAATCCCTGATATTATCGATGGGACACCGGTCGGCTCAGCACCGTATCGCCCGTACGACTCGGCCTGCGACAGGCTCGCCCGTTGGTGACACGACCTGCAAGACAAACTGCATCCGGAGCCAGCCGCCAAAGTCCAAACTCGAACCATCAAGCCAACCCAAGATCATGCCAAGCGACTTCTGATAGAATGATCTTGGAATCTAGCTCAATCACAAGTAATTGTGGGGCAGTGAAGAAGCACGCAAGCCGCACGACTACGCCACATTCTAGTGTCTGATTTCTTTACATCATCCCTCCGCAAAAGCTGCTGTTACTCTCAATACTCTTTCGACTTCACGGTTTAGGGTTTTCACCCTATAACTCTCATGACCCACACGATCTCCGGGTGTTCATGTGACTGACTGCTCACTTCTTAGTATTCTGAGCCACGACCCTCCACTGTTGCTACAAATCCTGTTGGTAGTTATTTAGGCTTCTAAATTATGCTTCGCCAAACCCTCCCTGCAAGTTGCCTGCCGACTGCCGGTCTGGCGCAGGTGTGCCTCAGTGCAAAACCGTCCGGAGTGGCCCCTGAGGGTAATGTTACGATCCCTGTAGTATTTCGGGGAAATACCTCCCGGGGCCAGCGTTTCCAGGCGGAAGACTACTTGCAATTGCGCAGAGCTCCAAAGCCAGTTTAGCTTAAACAAATGATCTTAGACCTAGGGTCAGAATAGTAAAACGGGTGACAATATTAATACTCCCCGCCTAAAACCCCCGAAAAGAACAGGCTGCCAGGCTAAGAAACTACCAACAGCTGAGACTAACAGGACCCTAAACTCAGCGAGCAGAGTGCAGTTCCTTACATAATACTACCTCATACTACGAACCCCAGACACGGCCAGAGATTCACCATTGCCACCACATACCCAAACCCTGCCCCAAGAGACCCTCGCGCAAAACAACCTCGGGGGGGGGGTCTATTAAAGGGATCCTAACAATACCCAGAATTACAGTACATCGTTTCCCAGAATGACAGTATATCATCATGAAAAGACTCAGCAAAATCATCGTCCCTTCGTAACCCCGAAACCCCCAAAACTGAAATAGGGTTTAGGGTTTAGGGCTTAGGCTCTAAAGCCATCGCCCGACGGCCAAAAAACGCAGCCCGAAGCACTGGGGAGAGGGCCGAGCAAGTCCGGAACTTGTCATAGACCTCCTGTCTGCTTTCGGAATTAGGGTTTAGGGTTTGAAGGTCAAGGGTTTACCATAGGCCCCATGGTAGTTCTTTTTTGGGATTGCCTTATAGGATTCTAAATATGAACCCCAAAAAGGAACTACTATGGGGCCTATGGGTACGGACAGACAACAAGATTGGGATCAAGACTGAGAGGAACGAGTTGCAGGTATTGGCTTTGGCCTGTAGGGGGCAGGCGGAGTTCCACATACCACTACCCAGGGAACCCTCAGGAACAGTATTGCTAAGTGGAACGGACGCCGGCCCCGATACTACATAATATAGGGGCCTTAATAATTAGAATAGGGCTTTGGGGCCCATGTACTATGATTATGATAAGGAACCCCCAAAATAGTATTGGTAATTACTCTCCCACCACTCCCACCGGCGAAGAACGGCAGGGGTGCGGTGCCTGCAACAGCTCCTGCAGACCATCGGCACGGATCGGCCGTTGGGCGGCCTGTTGGCCAAGGGCAGAATTTCAACAAGAAAGATGATACTTAAGAGCAACACTCAAAAGCACTCCAAAAAGTGATACAAACAAGAATAATCAGCATCATACTGCCAGCAGTCATGATACTCAACGTAATAATGACTCTAACAACCATGCGAAAACGTCAAAACCCATCATCCTGACCCCATAACCGGTAAGAGTAATAACCAGACTAGTTATTGTACGACTAGTCCTAGCAGTGAAAGCAAAACTCAGAGTGATTGCAACCATAGCGCTTCAATCCCTGAGCCCCCAACCACAAACCCATGCACCCACCACGTCACTTTGCCGCGCCGGACCTCCGGGACGCTGTTTCGACCTCCGGTCCGGGGTGATTTGAACTAAACCTTAGGTACCTGATGACTAGGTCTTGGAGTTTTGAGCTGCCACTGTCAGAACGAAGGCTTCGCCGCTTAAGCCGTTTAGCCGCTCTTGCCCTGGAGTTCCTACCTTCCTGCGTCTGGTTGCTGCTCCTTCCAAGCCCTCAATTGACCCGAGGATCCGAAAAATCACCCTTGAGCTCAAAACAACACGCTTCCAAAGACACCGTGACCAGTGAAGCGATGATACTGTACTTCTTTGGCTTCACAGGCGGAATCAGGCTTCTTGGAGTCTCTGGGAACCATCCGGGACTCAGCTGCTACCTACGTACCCCAGATGTTGAACCCCAAACCCCTATTCTAAGAATTAAGGCCTCGATATTAGTTAGAGGTGTCGGGTGTAAACAAAATTTTGCTTGAAAGTTTCACCGCATTAAAGGGGCTGTGAGGTTCCGTTTCAGTTTCGGGGCTCTGCTTCACGATCCTGCCGGTCTTTCCAATTGCAGGTCGCTAGCACGGAAGTCAAGTCACATTAGGCACATCCCTTCTCCTCGACCCCCCCACAAGTTCCAACGGCCTAAGCCAAAGCCTATTCCCGAAACCCTAAACTTAAAACCCAAACTCCTAAACCCCTGAACCCCACACTCTAGAACCTAAACCCTAAACCCTAAACCCTATACCCAAACCCCTAAACCCCTAAACCCCTAAACCCCTAAACCCAAGACCCTCGCAGGGCTGAGGGTTCCGGGCTCCGGCTCTCAGATTCCCCGGGGCTCCGGGCTCTTCGATCGGGGCCGGTCGGAGGGGCGATCCTCCACAGGAGCTGGCGTTCGGAGGCCAGGAGCCCTTGTTCCGTGGCTTAATACCCCAAATCCTAAACCCTAAACCCTAAACCCTAAATCCTAAACCCTAAACCCTAAACCCTAAACCCTAAACCCCAAATCCTAAACCCCAAACCCTGTTAGGGTGTGGGGTTTAGGAAGTCCTGCAGTACTGGAGCTAGAGCCGCTCACACGACTCCTGATCGAGATGCTTGGATACTGTAGCCTCGAAGGTCTTGGGCCCTGAAGTGCTGTAGCAGCGCCCAAGATACCAGCAAACGACCCAATATGCCGTTCGTCTGTAGCTTTAAATATAGACTGGCGAGTTTTGATGTGCACATCCCTACTTGCTTCCTAAGCCTCAAACCCCATAGAAACCCTCCCAAAACACGTGTCGAAGCCTTGCAAGGTCCTTATAGAACCCGTTTTCAGTCCCTACGCCCTAAAGCCTGACCCCTAAAGCCCTAAACCTTGAACCTTGAACCCAAACCTCTGTAGCTCTTCAAGCACCCTGAACGGACGAAGCTCCGCCTCAGACAAAGGAAGCTGCTTCGGGAGCTCTGGTGGAGGGCGCTCCTCCTTGGGCACCTCCCAATCGGCACGGTTTAATATAGGGGCGCCTTGATGATTAGACTAGGTTTTGGGGCCCGTTCTACTATAATTATAATAAGGAACCCCCAAAAATATAATTATACAAAGGAACCCCCAAAAATATAATTATAAAAAGGAACCCCCAAAAATATAATTATAATAATAATAATAAGGAACCCCCAAAAATATAATTATAATAAGGAACCCCCAAAATAGTATGGGTAATTATGTAGGCCCCTACATTCGGCTTTCCGGCCTTGGGGCTTTCGGGAGTTCCAAGCTTACAACGGCCTTGGAGCTGCCAGGGTTTCAACACTTTGGGCTTTGAGGGTTTTGAGGCTTTGAAGCTTCGGGCCTTATGCTTAACCCTTAACCCTAAACCCTAAACCCTAAACCCTAAACCCTAAACCTTCTAAACCCAAGCTTGTCTTTGGGACTTGGGGGTTCCAAAGTGGTCCGAAA